ATCCATAGAAATTAGGTGGACAGTTTCTCCAAAGTTCTTCAGGGAAGAATCTGCAGTGATTTTTCGAGGGCAGAACTGCTCCTTAACAGTGACAGGATTCCTGCTATAAGGAAAGCCCCCTGGGAAGAACTGCTTCACAAAGCCTTCTTCAGGGGCTGACTGAAACATGAGATGCCAGAGAGGCTGCAGACAGTTGGAGAGAGGATTGTCCAATGAAATGAAATGGACCTGGGCTAACTAAATACAGTACAAGAACACTCCCCCCCATTAGCATTTCACCATCATTCTTTTCTCCTTTAAAAGTAATTGGAAAGGAAATTCATTTTCATCAAACAAAGCAGGCAGGGGAAAAATCAGGAAAATTTGCCACTAGTTTCACATTTGCTTTAATGAGCTTTTGTCAATCAATTAAAAAAGGCTGACATGGTTTCCTACCACACTTATGGTTATGCATTTTATGTGGGGCTTCAACAGATTTCAGCAGAATGTGGGGTGCTTTAAGAATAGTTTGAAAACTACAACTAGCAGTGCATTTTCTGCTCACATTCTTCAATTCCTTCTAGAAGGAATTCCAGTCCCCATGTATAAATTACAAAATACATGAAAATTGCTTACATATTAACCTTTTGTATAACATTTCCTTCAAAACCCATTAAATCTGGATTTAGGGCCTAACTTGACATACTTCTGGTATATGTGTGTGTTGAATCATATCAAGACCAGTATGCTGGAGGATTTGTTGGTTAATCTTTTCCTCCTGAACCTTTTTCATAAATGAAATTGTATCCATAAATTAGCTCTTTGCCCTACAAGGAAACATGTGCAAGTACAGGTGTGAACAGTATGTTATGTTAATATCCATCTTATAGATCAATCTTCACCCCATGTGAACCAAAAGTGATGGATTTCAATTCCCATTACCCCCAGCTGTCATTACCTTTGGTAGTTGAAGTGTAGCACATCTGAAGGAAAAAGGCCTCTGTAGATCATCACCACATTCATTTGCCTGAATTTGGACAAGTTGGGAGCATGTGCTCCCAAAAACCTTAGGTGTAACCCCTAATCCTAACTCTCCAAATATGGTTGCCAAATTCTAATTTTTAACATAATTGAGCAGCACTCTTATTAAAGCAGCTTAATTTTAATCAAATGGAAATGGAAAGGAAATCTAAGCTGTGCCCTGGTTACACCCTCTAATGTATAAGGCGTGGCTTTTGACACATTCCCCTATAGTTGAATAAAATCATTATAAAAATACTGATTATTTTCAATATTAGAGACAGAAGAGCTATTAATACCAATTGTTGAGGTCCATGTGTGAAAGTCTGAACCACTACCAGACTTCAGAGTTTTAGAGAAAGGGTTTCTCTGGGAATTCTGGGTACCAGGTTTAAAAAAATGCAGATTCAAAGCTTGTGCCTTGCCATTAAGCAACAGTCTGGTGGTGAGTTTCAGCTATTACCTAGGGTAAAGTCTCAAATCACAAAGAGCAAAGGATCCAACCAATCCTCTGTATTAAATCCTAGAATACTTGTTGCAGGGGACAGATAGTTATGCTGATGTTCAGAGGCTTCCCAAAAGTTAGAAAGCTTTAAAAACACTGATTTAAACAGGCTTTTGAAATTATTTAACAGTGTGATTCCAGGTGATTGTAGCTAAAACATATTGGCATTAGAATAGTTCTTTCCCCCTCAAGCCTACAGTGGTTCCAAGGTATGTAAAAGTGGCTATGTTTCACTGACTAATCTGTCAGTGGTGCACTCTAGTGACACATAAGAAGTGGGAGCAGATCAGTTCCTCTGTGAGAGGCTGTGGGAGCCAGATGGAGGAGGAAGAGTCAGGTGTGTGCAAGAAAAGACAGCAGAGTCTAGCAGTGAGGTCCATGGGAAGGAAACATCTCAAAAGAGATTGTACCTTAATTAGCTTGCTACACATCTGCCTGGGAACTTACTTTTACAGTTTTCACATTATTTTCACTCTGACTTAAAGATGCCTTTCTGAAACCTGTGTGGTTCTTAGTTGTTGAGTTTGCCATCTACATGGGGCTTGACAACAACCTAGTAAAAGTTCCCAGGCAAGCTCATAGCAAGCCAATTAAAGCAGAGTCTCTTTGAATGTTTCCTTCCACAGCCCGAGTCTCTAGGGAACAGCATGGAAACCCAAGAGAGCATCTGCTCTTAAAACGGGGTCTTTCTCAATGTAGCTCTTCTGCTTTACTGTGCCACTCCCTCAGCCTCCCCAATACCTGTTTGACAGGCTTCAAGGGGGGTACTAACATGGTGCGACAAAGCTAGCAGGGGTTTAGAATTTTGAGAGGTGTGCTTTCATGCTTTGACGTGTGCAGTTGAACAAGAGAGGCATGTCAGCCCCCTGTCAGAAACTCAGGCCTCATCACTGTCCTGATGAGTGGATGATATCCTACTGTCTGGTGACATTCCAAAAGCAAGCGGGTAACCAGGCAGAGCGTTTCACCAATTGCTTTGCTTAACATATCCTACATACATGAAATCAGGATACTGTACCACCATTCAGCAGCAAACTAAAATGAAGGCAATGGATGTAGGATAGGGACTGACGAGGTCAGCAAATTCAGCTCAAGAATGGGTGGATAGCACTTAAATTCAGCACTGTGGAAAAGCTGATGACCTGTGGAAATAAAAACATCTCCAGAAGAATATTCAGAGCTTCTAAAAACCTGCTGCCTGCTTCTGATTGATTCATTATCAAATGAAGCTATGGAAGAAACAGATGCTTAGGAGCCAGTGAATGTTGGGTTTAACTGGAAAGGAAAGATGGAGCTGGCTGGCAGGAATCCTGAATGAGCTGAAGTGCTGAGGTTGTATCTCACAGACAGTCTTGACAAAGTGATGTCCATTGGGTCACTAAGAGACAGAAGTGACTGAAGAGCTAAACAACAATTTCTCACATATATCTTACAGCTGAACTCCCTTGTATTTCCCTAGCCCATTACAAAAATAAAATTGCCACTGGACTAATAATTAAAATTGTAGATTTTTATTTTGTAGAAAAACTTATTTTATGATGCAATACAGTATTGTTTACATGTTTCTATGTACATGTTCATGTTTTAGAGAAATAAATGGGCTGACATTTTTTAGAATTAATTTTACATTTTGTTTCCAATTTCTGAACAGTTAATGACCAAGCATTCAAATATATCTTTCAAATAAATCCGAGTCGCCACCTACTATGCATTTGCAGAGCCCTAGCCAGACACACAACAAGGCTGGCCAAGGGCTATTACCACCTGGCCTTAAGTAGACTAACACTAATTAAAACAACACATGAAAGACATCTGCTTATAAATAAAGAAAAGGGTGTTTTTGTCCATATTTTGAGGCTCAGAAGTTCCTTTTAGTATCATGGTTGAGCTGAACTCACAGTATTTTTGCCCTAAAGTTTATTGAGGTATTATTGAGGTGGATTTACTAAGTCATACTGCAGTTTATTTTGACTCTAATGTGCAAATATACTTATGACAGCTTGTGTGCAGACCAGCTATTGTGACTTGTTCAATGAACCATGATTAAAAATATTTGACCTACTAGTATATGCGCAGAGATATTTTGTTACCATTAAGAAACTGAGAGTTGGAGAACCTTGCTGACATACAGTGAATCTCCTAGCCTACCAAACTTAAGATAGATAATGTAATTTGAAGCACCTTGCAACCAAGGGACTCTAGATTAGAGAAGGCTGTTTAAAATGTTCATATCTTTATCCTTGAAGACATGTGAACAATGAAGGCGTTAATCAGGAGTTAGTGGGAGACTTAGATGTAGTTGACTTACAACCCTCATCATAATTACCAGGAGGGAGGGATGCTGGGAGATATTCAGATATTCTTGCAGGGCTACAGATTTCCTATCCCTGGTATGGGAATCAGAGTGTCAACAGATATCTTCCTGAATTTCAATTCATTCTTTGAACATTTCAGAATCATACTGATTCAATGCAGCTACAAATTCAACATGATTTTATTGAGAGATGAAGTTGTAATGCCAATACATTATCTTGCTCTATTGAAGGGATAGGCTGTGTCCATCCCATTACTTTTCTGGAATCTACATGGAGAATACTAGAAAGTAGAGTATTATAGGACTAGTAACATCTAATTAAATAAAATACTATTTTAGTATTAATTTTATTTAGCATGTGCTTATATCTAAGCACAGTTCAAGACCTTGGTTATAACATAACTCTGGAATATTTAGAGAGCTGATCGATTTACTGAGTAGGCAAGATACAGCATGGTAGTGTTATGGGAGAAAGCCATTTTTTATTATAGAGAGAGTCACTCTACAAGAAAATTGTTTTAAAAGTGACAGGCAATTAAAAAACTATATGTGTTTATGTGTATTTATGAGTATATGTATTAAGTTATTTATACACATATATGTATACAAATCAAATAAAGCAATTGAAACAACACAAATAACTACAAAACTTCATTGTTCCAATGACAGACAAATCACTCAAAGAAATACAAATGTACAGCTGAGTTAAGACAGCATTTAAAACATTAACATGAATCATGATTTGTAATTGAAAGATGGCTGGTGTGGGTCTTCCGGGCTGTGTGGCCGTGGTCTTGAAGTTTTGTTTCCTAACGTTTCACCAGCACCTGTGACCATGTATTGGCATTACAACTTCATCTCTCAATAAAATCATGTTGTGTATTGGCATTACAACTTCATCTCTCAATAAAATCATGTTGTGTATTGGCATTACAACTTCATCTCTCAATAAAATCATGTTGTGTATTGGCATTACAACTTCATCTCTCAATAAAATCATGTTGTGTATTGGCATTACAACTTCATCTCTCAATAAAATCATGTTGTGTATTGGCATTACAACTTCATCTCTCAATAAAATCATGTTGTGTATTGGCATTACAACTTCATCTCTCAATAAAATCATGTTGAGACCACGGCCACACAGCCCGGAAGACCCACACCAGCCATCGTATGCCGGCCGTGAAAGCCTTCGACAATACATTGTAATTGAAAGCCTTCATTGGTCTTTGGCAAATCATAGGTATCCTGCTCTACCTTCCGCTCACCTTGCTGTAAGGTGAAGCCATTGATTATACTTCTATTGCCAATGAGATAGGACTCAAACTGAAAGAATCACTACTTTTAGACTTTTCTCTAGCTGCTAGTGATTTGCTGAGAAAAAAAAGGTAATCTGGCACTTCTCAGTTCACGTTCTTACTACGTTCAGGGCTGGCCCTACCAATAAGAGGAGTTCTGTTGGCTGATGTCATAGAACAATAGTGACAGTACTTCCAGATCCTTCCCTATGACCCACGACTATCTCCCTCTGCTATCCTCCATTCCCATTAACTACCATAGAGCGAGCAGATGGAGGTTAATCCATTTATCAGACAACTGAATTACTGAAGCAACTCTAGGAATACACTATAGCCCTAGCTCCCAGTCATGGTGACTATATGGATAAAGAAAAGAGAACTGAACATGCATTCAATAGGCATGCTTCCTGAGTACCAGACTTTGTCAAAAGAGCCTGACGGGTAAACAGGTGCACAACTGATTACCCTTATCTGGCAGAAAAGTAAGAGCTGAGACAAAACTTAATGTGACTTGCAGATGTTAAGCTTTTTGCATGGAAATCACAGCAGGACACAATCATCTTCTCCTTTTCACATATTCACTGTGAAATCTGAATAGGATTTATGCCAACTCTCATGTCCAAGCAAAAATGAACCATACAGTGGCTAGGGTGAGTTCTTGTGGCAGAAGAGCAAGGAGTCCAGAGCAAAAAACACAGGAGTGCATCAGATTTCCCAAGTATTTGGGAATCTCTGAATATCCTATTAAAATGCTGTAGCAGACATAGATGATTTTTCTTTGCAGAAAGATGAAAGATCTCTTCTGAAGAGGATCTTCATGATGCAGATATTTGATACACACATAGACACATATACAAGCAAACACATACAAACATAATAACTGATCCCCATTAGTTGGCTGGAGCTGATGTCCTATGCAAACCAATGTCAACTTCCACAAAGTTTAATCAGTAATGAATTAGTCCATATCACTGAAAATGAGGCTCCATGTAAAACCATACTTTTATTTAAACTCTTGTCTTTCCTCATGAAACAAGCAAATTATGCTTTTGAGATAAACTAACATCAGATTTTTTCCTTTGATTTTCTACTGAAAAGGAAGTTTGGACAGTTTCCATGGTTGTCACTGTCTGGACAGATGGGGCTGAGCTATGTCTTCGAGGAAATCTGCCCAAGTAGACCTCCTTGCATTTCCTTCGGAAATGTTTGCCTACGATGACATAGACTATTGGATTAAGACAACTATTGCTGAAACCGCAATAGACAGCAATCTGGCTAGCCACATTAATGGCTTGTTCTGCATCACAACCAATAATGAACTTTATTCGATGTAACATGTCCAAGAAGGTGCTGATCTGGAATGGAAGCCAACAGATAATAAACAGAAGAAGGACTGCAAGAACCAGGATGGTGGCTTTTTTCTCAGTTTGAATGGATTTGATCTTTTGAATTTCATGGTTTTGTAAAGCTTGGATGATTTGAACAGTACAGTAGGTAATGATACAGACTGGCATCAGAAAGCCCACTGTGTTCAACAAAACAGTTGTGATAATCGCCCACTGGGTAATAGATGGATATTCCAAAATGCAGGCCGTGACCTTATAGTCATGCACATACTTTAATGATCTGAATACCAGAACAGGAGAGCAAAGGAAAAGGGCAGAAACCCAAATCACAAGACAGTTCCATTTGGCACACATTGGCTGGCGCATGCGTCCCAGAGACATTGTTTTCACCAAGGCCAAGTAGCGATCAATACTCACCATTACTGCAAAATAAATGCTTGAATATAAGTTCATAAAAAGCATTGTGTTAACAATTTTGCAAAGGATGAGCCCAAATGGCCAATCAAAGTTCTTGGTTATGTTGATAGCCCAGAAAGGCAAACCACAGAGCAACAGAAGGTCAGCCATTGCTAAATTTGCCAGGTAAATTTCAGCCACAGTGCAGCGGCTTTTGTGGAAGCACCAAACACTGAGAACAAATAAATTTTCCACCACTCCCACTATAGCAATAAGCCAGAGAAAGGCAGGCTGGATTTGAAGCACCCATTGCCACTCTTCTGGCCAAGGGCAGGAACTGTTTGTTGCATTCACCTCAGGGTTCCAGGTGACTGTACCATTGGGAAAGGCTGTGCCATGCTCAACCATGATAGCTGTTGCTTCAGTGCTGGAAAATAAAAAGGAGGGTTAGATACCTGTTCAGCACAATATTTAGAAATCAAAACTACAGTGAAACCCAAGAATGGAACTCAATTCCATTAGAAGAAAGTGTATTGGGGCAAGTAAAACAAGTAAATGTCCAGGAACAGTGCAAGATGTTAAAGAAAATATTGCAGAAAACTAATTCTTGCTTAAAGCAATTCCCACACTGATAGTATATCAGTAAAGCCAAGTGTATGATGAAGATGTAAGCATAATTATGAAAGAAGAAAGTTGCCCTGTCCACCTGCAAAACCACAGTAGGGCTGATAACAGTGTTGTGTTTGGCTACTCCAAATTACTGTTCAGGATTTATCACTGTCTATCCTTTAGTCAGCTTGTTCATTTCCAGCTTAATCTCTGTTGCAGGGTTGTTTTGAAGAGAAATTAGGTTAAGGATTGCCAAGTGCTTTGAAATCTGTAAAATCCTAGTGAATTGTTGAATGAAATGCTGATGTCCTTGTGGATATTTGCAGTCACACTGGGAGTATCTACATCATCATAAACAAATTGCTCTTTGATGATAGTGCAAGATTGTTCATATTTTCATATACATGCACATACCATTATTACTTTCTGGAGTAGTCATGGTATTTTTAGACAGAGTTTAGTGTTCTTTCAGAAGACCACTAGACTCATATGAAATAGCCTGACAGGTACTTTATATGGAGGAGGGACTGAATAAAGCAGGAGTATTGGGAAAGTTTCCTTATGCTTCACCCTCTGCCCCACCGCCATGACTGGAACCAGTTAGGTAGGCAACTTGGCCAGTGAGTAAACATACTGTTCTAAGTGCATCGATATACTTGCCCAATCCTGCCCTACATTACAGAAAACCGTTGGTTGGTTGGTTGGTTGGTTGGTTGGTTGGTTGGTTGGTTGGTTG